CATCTCTCGCTCTCGTTGAAAACTTCGGCAAGCTCGTCATAAGCTTGGTTGGGCAGGCCCCGCAAACTCGCATATGTCAAACCGTCCAATCCACCAGCCTTATCAGCCACACTATTGGCAATTTGACAAAGGTCTACTCCTTTTATGGGTGGGAGTGGGTGCTGCCTGGCTATGTCCTCCAAGGCCTGCCCAGGCCTAAACCCGGGCTCGGCTTCTCCCCAAAGGTCCACCCATTGTGCCCTTCGCAGTTTGGCCCTTTCTGCCGCAGGTTTGTCCCTAAAAGGTCTGGTGTACACCTGCTCAGCTTTGGACAAACTGCGGAACAAAGGCCTCATTCCCTTGACCATACCTGCACAAAGCCAGGCTTTGTACTGTTTGAAGTGGACACGACTGGCCTCCACTTGTGCCTCCGCTTCCTTCGCTTCGGCGGCTGCCCGAAGTGGACCCAGCAAACTAGCCTGGCGTTGCTCAAAGGCTCCAATCACCTCGGCAATGAACGAAGTTGCCTCCGGGCTGCTGGCCCCCTTGCGCAGAAAACCATCAACTTTGGTCGCATCACCTTGCGTCTGCTCCCAAGTGCTTGTGTTGAGTTCGGATTGCAGCTTAATAATGCACCTTCGCATGCGACCCCACCACCCGGCCGGCGTGGCTGTGCTGGCCTGTGTGCAGCGGGTTTCTGGCAGGGTGCCCCAGACCTTATCGACATTGTAACCACGGCCTTGAAGGTCGCCCCTGCATTCCTGCATGTTTCCAGAGCTTTGGCCCACCTGGCCATGGCACAGGAGACCTTATGTTCGCCAAGCTGACCCATGATACTAGGTGCGAGTGGGCCCACCGCTGGCCAAACTTCCCTGCTAACGTCACCTGTCAACTTGGCAAACTGTTGCAAGCGCCACTGGGGCTTAACAACGCCTGCCCCAGCAATGGTCAGCCGCATGGCCGCATGTGGTTTCCACGGCACCTCCCAATCGGCAGTCAGGGTGGCCACTGACTCAATGCAACGGCTAACAAGGACGAAATCTAATTCGTTACCTGCTCCCTGTGTGCACGTAATCTCCCCTGTGGCAATCAAACGACCTCGCAGCACTTGGCACAGGTTGCTTTCCATGAAAGTGTGCGGTGTGCAATTCCAGTCGCCACCTATCACCCAGGGCTCGGGCAGCTCGCGCACATACGACACCAGGTGCCCAAGTATTTGCGCATTCCTCGGGCCCGTCAGGCCTTCAGTATCTTTGAGGTAAATGCACAGTAAAGTGAAAGTGAGGCCTTGGGCTTGGACACCAATTGCTTCGAAACCGGCTCCTTCCAGAAGGAAGGTGTGCTTGGTCCATGCATCTCTGTGCTTCCTGACAACCCAAGCCACCCCTCCTACCCTAGAACCTGAATCGCTAAGGTGAGCTTCCTGGCCAATGAAAGTCCACTTCAAGGCTTGCAGAGTGCCCTGCCTGGCAAGGAGCGTCTCAGGGCTCAAATGTGTTTCTTGAAGACCTACCAGTGCGCAACCACAATTCTCCAGCCAAGAGATGACACCATGATTGCATGAGGTAACATTGGCAAAGCCAATGACAAGGTCCTGGCCTCGCTTGCTCGTGAGGATCTGTTGGCACCACGTCTTCGTGGTTGGCGACAAGTCACCTGTTTCCACTCCCGGCGCAAGGCCCTCTGGGCATGACAACGCACAAAAGCTGTCCTGCACTTGCTCACAAAGGTCACGGCTACACTGCAAGGGGCGCGCCCCGGCATCGGCCACACTCCATGCGGCTGCATTGGAAAGGCTGGCATGAACTTGGTCACGTCTGCCTATGGGTGTCTGTGGCCACCAGGTCGGGGACCCCAGCTTAAGGCACCGGGTTTCGCAAGCGAGTGTGGCGCTCTCCGCCTGGGAAGCGTCGGCTGTGCTGCCTACTGGGGACTGCCCGCTGTCACGGCAACACGGATCGGGTAAGGTGTGCTCACTACTAGAGCCGGCGAAAGGCTGCTGCACTCTACTCTCAGTTCGAAATGCATCATGCAAAGACGGTCTGGCAAGCAAGTGGGCACAAAGGTTTCGGGCAGTATCCAACTCGTGCTACGGATCAACCAAAGCCTCACATACAGAAAATCCTAGATCCCACAGTGGACTGTGTTCTTGCGCAGCCTTCTCCAGCTGCTCAACCAAAACAACCAGTTTCCTTTCGACCTCCGCTGCTCGATCTGTAGTGGCTGCAAAAGCCTACTGATGGCCGCACAGAGCTCACGGGCCTCCTTGTCCTGATACAGGTTGCAATCGAACCTCACCTCAGGGCTAGCGGCTAGCCGCTACTGCAACCTTCCTTTGGCTGGCCCTGGGCGTTGAGCCCGTGGTCTTTGCTTCCGCCTCTTTCCCAGCAACTGGCCCCTGTTGGTCCCCCTGTTCACCTCCATTACAAGGTGCCAGCTGGTGCAACAAAGCCAACAAAGCGTCCGTGACACTCTTTCCACTATCTCGGGCCTGCGTGACCCCATGACTGTCG